CATATTTGAAAAGGACTCATTTAATTCAGTGTTTTGTATTCTACTTCTACATGCACTCAGCTGTCACTGTCAGGAGGCGTAAGCTGTCAGCTAAAATAACGTTCTAATCCTTCCATCAACGTCAGCCGTCAGACCTCAAACAAGCATTGATATTTTTCACCCAAGCTTTACAGATCGATGAGATATTCTGACCGCCATCAGAACTTTGATTTATATGAAGGTGTGATCCGCTAGACTCGACCTTCATCAGCCTCTCGCTACCTAACGCTGAGTCATCGAGGATTATACCTTTATATGAGTCTAATTTCATAAGGCTTGTGTCAGTCGCTCCCTCTAAAGCCTGCGACCCTATTGAAGTGTCGTTAGGGTCGTCCCGTTTGCTTCTGTCGTGGTCCAATAGTGAGTGATTTTGCCTTTGAGGAAATTAACTCGAGTGTAAGGGGAGTTTGAAGCAATATGGATCTTTTTTTGGATCTTTACATATTTTTAGACAAACAAAACAAACACAGGGACAATAAACACAAACAAATACAAACAACAAAGAAATAAACAACACAAAAAAAATCGCAATAAAACAAATGAACAAAACAAAAAATAAGAAAAACATGACAAACAACAATAACAACAAGCGAATAAAACAACAAAAAACAAACAATATAACAAAGAAGCAAACAAAGCACAAACAACAAAACTCACTCTCAACACAAAACATCCATCACCTAACAAATGAACATCACCTAATCCACTGATGACACTCGTGCCAACAATTACAACCCGAGGCACTTGACTCTGGCACTAGATAACTATTTCATCATATCCTCACCGGTTGGCACTGGCTGGCTGGCTGGCTGTGGATTATGGAGGTAACTCGGTGGGATTATACCTCTGGCTTAGAAAGGGGTTTATGTTACATTTGACAAGTCGGGTGACCATTATTTCCCTGCCATGCTTCAGCAGAACCACTCACACTTAGCGATTTTTTGCCGCTCGCTACTACTGCCATTATTACTCCCACTCACTAGAACTTTACACTCCTCCATCCACCACCATCATCATCATCATCATCACTACAACCACTACCATTACCATCATCATCCCTACAACCATTACCACCACCATTACTAACCATCACCACCACTACCATCATCACTACCACCAATACCAACACATTACTACCATACACCAACCATCACCACCACAATCATCACCTTCACCACCACCAACTACCACCATCACCAAACATCACTTTCACCAACACACTACTACCATCACCACCAATACACCCCACCACCACCACCTTCACCACCAATACTCAACACCACCACACCGCCACCACACCACCACCACCTTCACTACTAATACTCTACACCACCACACAACATCACACCAACCACCACCACACATCACCACCACCACATCACCACCACCACCACCACCACCACACACCACCCACACCACCACCACCACACAACCACCACACACACCACCAACACACCACCACCACCACCACCACCACCACACCACCACCACCACCACACCACACCACCACACACCACCACACCACCACACCATCAACACACCACCACCACACATATCACCACCACCACCACACCATCACCACCACTAGCAAACACAAACTTTTTACCTATATGTCAATTTTACACAGTGTTAACACCCCCACTGAAGGTCTCGTGCGCTCATTTAACCAGAGGACAAAAAAAAATAACATTCTCGTACCTGCCGTAAGCCCTGGTATAGTGAATGTGGCTACACTGTTTTGTCGTTTAAAGGTTTTCCTGGAAATCAGAGAATGAAGAAGATTTTTTTGCGTGTGTGTGTGTGTGTGTGTGTGTGTGTGTGTGTGTGTGTGTGTGTGTGTGTGTGTGTGTGTGTGCGTGTGTGTGTGTGTGTGTGTGTGTGTGTGTGTGTGTGTGTGTGCGTGTGTGTGTGTGTGTGTGTGTATAAAAGAGAGAACGGAAAATCACAACACCATTATATTTCTTCCATTTACCTCAATGTGTGTGGTATCTATTTACCAGATCATGAAAGTAGACAGGTATCCAACTCCTTATATGAGTCTTGCGTGAATGTATTGTATTAAGAGAACCAGAGTTACAATAGAGTGTGTGGGAGGTAAAGTTTATATTGTATTTCCGGGTTCTATGATTTCTACTCACGTGAGAGTGTGTGGGGGAAGGTAGTGTTTTGTTTGAGTGTTTTTGTGAGTATGTGGGGGACGGAAGGTAAAGGTTTTCTGTTTGAGTGTTTCGTGAGTGTGTGGGGACAGGGAAAAAAGTGTTTTCTGTTTGAGGCGAGAGTGGGACGGAAAGTAAAGTGTTTTCTGTTTGAGTGTTTCGTGAGTGTGGGGACGGGAAGGTAAAGTGTATTCTGTTTGAGTGTTTCAGAGTGTGGGGACGGGAAGGTAAAGTGTTTTCTGTTTGAGTGTTTCGTGAGTGTGTGGGGACGGAAGGTAAAAGTGTTTGTTTTGAGTGTTTCGTGAGTGTGTGGGGGACGGGAAGGTAAAGTGTTTTCTGTTTGAGTGTTTCAGAGTGTGTGGGGATGGGAAGGTAAAGTGTTTTCTGTTTGAGTGTTTCGTGAGGGGGAAGGAAGGAAGTGTTTTGTTTGAGTGTTTCGTGAGTGTGCGGGGAACGGGAATAAAGTGTTTTCTGTTTGAGTGTTTCGAGAGGTGTGGGGAACAGGAAGGTAAGTGTTTGTTTGAGTGTTTCGTGAGTGTGGGGACGGAAGGTAAAGTGTTTTCTGTTTGAGTGTTTCGTGAGTGTGGGGAACGGAAGGAAAGGTTTCTGTTTGAGTGTTTCTGAGTGTGGGGGGGACGGAAGGTAAAGTGTTTTCTGTTTGAGTGTTTCAGAGTGTGTGGGGGACGGGAAGGTAAAGTGTTTTCTGTTTGAGTGTTTCGTGAGTGTGTGGGGGACGGAAGGTAAAGTGTTTTCTGTTTGAGTGTTTCGTGAGTGTGGGGAACGGGAAGGTAAAGTGTTTTCTGTTTGAGTGTTTCGTGAGTGTGTGGGGACGGAAGGTAAAGTGTTTTCTGTTTGAGTGTTTCGTGAGTGTGTGGGGACGGGAAGGTAAAGTGTTTTCTGTTTGAGTGTTTCGTGAGTGTGTGGGGACGGGAAGGTAAAGTGTTTTCTGTTTGAGTGCCGAGTGTGTGGGGACGGAAGGTAAAGGTTTTCGTTTGAGTGTTTCGTGAGTGTGTGGGGGACAGGAAGGTAAAGTGTATTCAATTTGAGTGTTTCGTGAGTGTGGGGGACGGAAGGTAAATGTATTCAATTTGAGTGTTTCAGAGTGTGTGGGGACGGAAGGTAAAGTGTTTTCTGTTTGAGTGTTTCGTGAGTGTGGGGACGGGAAGGTAAAGTGTTTTCTGTTTGAGTGTTTCGTGAGTGTGTGGGGGACGGGAAGGTAAAGTGTATTCAATTTGAGTGTTTCGTAAGTGTTTTGTGTATTTTGGGGAAATTGGAGAATGAAGAAGCAAAGTTTTCTCCTCTGGTAAAGAATGACTACAGTAACACAGGTAATTTGCATACATAACTGCATTACAAAAAGTTACAGTTACATTACATCAGTGAGGAATAGTGTTTGCCCTTTTAGTATAGACGAGTTTAGTTGTCAGGTTTAATACGCAGGTTAATGGAGAGAGAGAGAGAGAGAGAGAGAGAGAGAGAGAGAGAGAGAGAGTAAAATCACGTCGTACACCCAAAAACGATCCCAATATCAGGTAGTTATTTTTCTTACTTACTGAAGCGAAGAAAGTTTTATTGACCCCGCTAAAGTAAACAATTCCAGCACAATATAAGAACACGATCCAGTCTCCTAGGAAGAAAAACCCCGATAACAAGACACACGCAAACAGGTAGTCTAAATTTGCGAAAGGAATTGTGTTTTTAAGATGACAGAATTTCGATGTAATTTTCTTCTCATCCTTCATTTCTTTCAATTTGTCCGAACTACGACAAAAAGTGGATTTTAAGAGTGAATAACAGTTTTCATTCATTCATTCATTCATTCATGCTTACTGCTATAGGAGGCGTGTTGTTCTGCCTGTCATTTTCTTCATTTCTTTCACTTTTGCCACTATGATAGAAAGAAAATATATATTTTAAGAGTGAATAACAGTCTTCATTCATTCATTCATTCATTCATTCATTCATGCTTACTGCTTTCGGAGGCGTGTTGTTCTGCCTGTCATTTTCTTCATTTCTTTCACTTTTGCCACTATGATAGAAAGAAAATATATATTTTAAGAGTGAATAACAGTCTTCATTCATTCATTCCTACTTCTAAAGGAGACGGGTTGTTCTGCCTGACACAACACGAACCAAGAGAAAAATTATCTTTTATTTACAGGCTCGGGTTTACTTGCGGTGGGAAATTCTCTGTAGCAACACACTGGAGGAAAGAACTGAGGAGGTTGGGGAGGGGTGAGGGAGGAGAGAGGGAGGGAGTGAGGCAGGAGGAAGGAGTGAGGCAGGAGGAAGGAAGAGAGGGGGCATGAAGAGTAGGAAAAGGAGGGTGAGGAGTAAGGGTGCAGGAGAAGGGAAGGGAAAGGAGAGGAGAGAGAGGGTGGAGGAGGGAGGAGAGGAAAGAGAGAAGGGATGAAAAGGAGGAAAAGGAAGGGAGGAGGTGCGTAGGGAAGAGGGAAGGGGAAGGAGGAGGAAAGAAGTGAATTAGTTTAGCATAGATTACCCCACGTCAAGTTAGGTTAGGTTAGGTTGAATGTCTAACAATTATTAACACTAGTGCCCATTCGACCTACAACAATACTGCACACTCTGCAACAATACTAGACACATTTGCAACAATACTAGACACACTTGCACAATACTAGACACACTTGCAACAATACTAGACACACTGCAACAATACTAGACACACTTGCAACAATACTAGACACACTTGCAACAATACTAGACACACTTGCGACAATACTGCACACACTTGCAACAATACTAGACACACTTGCAACAATACTAGACACACTTGCAACAATACTAGACACTTGCAACAATACTAGACACATTTGCAACAATACTAGACACACTTGCAACAATACTAGACACACTTGCAATAATACTAGAAACATTTTCAACAATACTAGACACACTTGCAACAATACTAGACACACTTGCAACAATACTAGACACATTTGCAACAATACTAGACACACTTGCAACAATACTAGACACACTTGCAACAATACTAGAAACATTTTCAACAATACTGCACACACTTGCAACAATACTAGACACACTTGCAACAATACTAGACACACTTGCAACAATACTAGACACACTTGCAACAATACTAGACACACTTGCAATAATACTAGAAACATTTTCAACAATACTGCACACACTTGCAACAATACTAGACACACTTGCAACAATACTAGACACATTTGCAACAATACTAGACACACTTGCAACAATACTAGACACACTTGCAACAATACTAGAAACATTTTCAACAATACTAGACACACTTGCAACAATACTAGACACACTTGCAACAATACTAGACACACTTGCAACAATACTAGACACACTTGCAACAATACTAGACACACTTGCAACAATACTAAGACACATTTGCAACAATACTGCACACACTTGCAACAATACTAGACACACTTGCAACAATACGACATTTGCAAGCAATACTGCACACACTTGCAGCAATACTAGACACACTTGCAACAAACTAGACACACTTGCAACAATACTAGACACACTTGCAACAATACTAGACATTTGCAGCAATACTGCACACACTGCAACAATACTAGACACACCAACAATACTGCACACGCACGTAATACTGAACACACTTGCAACAATACTAGACACACTTGCAACAATACTGCACACACTTGCGACAATACTAGACACGCACAGCAATAGACACACTTGCAACAATACTGAACACTTGCAACAATACTGAACACACTTGCAACAATACTGCACACGCACAGCAATACTAGACACACTTGCAGCAATACTAGACACACTTGCAACAATACTGCACACGCAACAATACTAGACACATTTGCAACAATACTGCACTTGCAACAATACTAGACACACTTGCAACAAAACTAGACACATTTGCAACAATATTAGACACACTTGCAACAATACTAGACACACTTGCAGCAATGCAACAATACTAGACACACTTGCAACAATACTAGACACACTTGCAACAATACTAGAAACATTTTCAACAATACTAGACACACTTGCAACAATACTAGACACACTTGCAACAATATTAGACACACTTGCAACAATACTAGACACACTTGCAATAATACTAGACACACTTGCAACAATATTAGACACATTTGCAACAATACTAGACACACTTGCAACAATACTAGACACACTTGCAACAATACTAGACACATTTGCAACAATACTGCACACACTTGCAACAATACTAGACACACTTGCAACAATACTGCACACACTTGCAACAATACTGCACACACTTGCAACAATACTGCACACACTTGCAACAATACTAGACACCCTTGCAACAATACTAGACACACTTGCAACATTATAAAGACACGTTCAATATCTTGCTCCACAACCTCACCTCGATATTGAACAACTATTAGAGTGAAGCTTTGAGAGGCGCAGTCATCACCTCAATCCTTGTTCTGGGAATTCCTGATCACGATCCAGTCTTAAATCATAGGACGACCTGAACAAGAATACCGGAAATCGAAATTTGACAATAATTACAACTTGTGTCGTACATTATTGAAATCTGACAATCCGACGATTTTTTTATTTTTACTTTAATTACATGAAATATTTCTATATTTATAAATATATATATACCATACAATCTTTAAATAACTTGACATCGTAAAAATATATATGTAACTTTTTATTTAATTGGCAATCTAATGAATATGTCAATAACATTTTCATAACGGGCAAAAATACGACTATTTGTATGTATGTATGTATGTATGTATGTATGTAAGTTAGGTCAGCAGCACCCCCCCCCCCCACACACACAAGGTTCATATGCAGCATCACGTTCCCACATCACCCAGACAAATACGACACTCACTCCTTCATGACAAACATTGAAATTGCAGAGTCCCACGGAGGTATTAGCCGCCCCATTGCCTCTCACATGCGAGCAATTTGTGTGCAAATGATTGAAGGGTTACTTAAAGCTTATCGGCAGATCTACATACTTAATGATACTAACACTAACACTTTCTTCAAGGGTTCATTCATTCTATCATTCATTCATTCATTCACTCCACGATAATGTTATGTATAATGTATGGTGTAGTTTTTTTTTAGTAAGTTATTTATTCGTTCATTCATTCACTTTCTTCACGGTTCATTCATTCACTTTCTTCACGGTTCATTCATTCACTTTCTTCACGGTTCATTCATTCATTCATTCATTCATCACGTTTATTTAAGTCCCTCATACTATATGACAAAATATCATCCGTTATATCGAGATCAGTAAGATGTGAAACCGCCAATTAACGGACTATATGCCAGGATAGTCCGTTATATGCAGGCTTCACTGTACATAACATTCCCTCATTATATAAGAAGTCACGTGGTGTAGTGTATATTTACATCATATATTATTTAGTTTTACAGGTGAGTTTTACACCTGTGTCGTGTGGGACTTTCAGCAGGAACTTAAATCGGCCGCCCGAGGGAGTGTGTTTCCGTCGGGGACAAATAAGCTCATGTTATTGTGACTCTCGGGTCATTTGTTGGCTGTGGGGAGGGAAGGAAGGAGGTGGGTAGAGAACTGAGAAAGTGAGAGAAAATGGAGTTGGAAAATAAGAAGGGAGTAGGTGGAGAACTGAGAGAGAGAGAGAGAGAGAGAGAGAGAGAGAGAGAGAGAGAGAGAGAGAGAGAGAGAGAGAGAGGGGGGGGAGAAAGGAGAGAAGAAGGAGGAGTGGGAAAAGTAGAGAGGGGGGGAATAAGAGAGGGAAAGAAGAAGGGAAGAAGTGAGAGAGAGAGTGTGTGGAAGGAAGAGTAGGGGAAAGGAGAGAGAGGAGGGAAAAAGGGAGTGAGAAGGTAAAGGAAAGGAAGAGAGTAGAGAAAGAAGAGAGGGAGACAGGAAGGGAGGGAGTAGGTGAAGAAATGGGAGGCAATGGAGAAAGAAAAGGGAGGGGAAGGAGGTAGAATGAGTGGGTTGGAGAAAGGTAGGATGGAGAAAGCAAGGAAAGCAAGGAGGGAAGGACGGAGCGAATGAAGAAAGGAGGAGGAGAATACCGAGAGAAGGAAGGAAGGACTGGGGAAATCGGCCAAGGAAGGAGGGAATGAGGGATAGACAGAAGTAATAGAAAAAGAAAGAAAGAGGGTGTAGGAGGAAAATAAAAATGCATGAGAGAGGGAGAGACAGAGAGAAGGAATAAAGAGAAGAAGAAAAGGAGAGAGAGAGAGAGAGAGAGAGAGAGAGAGAGAGAGAGAGAGAGAGAGAGAGAGAGAGAGAGAGAGAGAGAAGGGGGAGACTACGTTACATCCATTTTATGAACGATCTATTTCCAGTTTCAATTCTCCTCCTCCGTCCCACACTCGACCCTGGATATATCAATTTATCATCCCATCATCCTCAAGAATCAATCGTTGGTACATTTGACTATTTAATTCACGGTCAGCAGCTTAGCGGTCAGCAGCATGACGGTCAGCAGCATGACGGTCAGCTGCATGACGGTCAGCAGAATGACGGTCAGCAGAATGACGGTCAGCAGAATGACGGTCAGCAGAATGACGGTCAGCAACATGACAGTCAGCAGCATGACTGTCACCAACATGACGGTCAGCAACATCATGTTGTTGAAAAACTCGTGAAAACCGGAGATCAATCTATGCTAAAGATAACTTGAAAATATTTATCCCTAAAATAGTTCTGAAACATCAGGCTGATGAAACACTGCATAAAAAAATAAACACTGACATTTACTCTGGCCTTCGCAACACAAAAACGAAAAGTCAACCCAAACTGATTCTCCTTCATATCCTATTCCCGGGTTGAGTTAGAGAGCTCTATTCAACTTTGACATCACAAAAAAATACAGCTAATATCTGGTGATTCTTTTCGGGTATTTTTGGTGGCATTTATGGCCCCAGATAGTTCACGACGCACATCACCTTAACAGAAGAACAGAGCATAACAAGTTGTAAGTTTTAGAGCTGATTTATTTAATAGTTAAGACTGACAGGATATGAATCACGAACAAGTATACCAGAGTTAGCATCAATTCTTTACAAACTAAACTCAATATACGTTTGAGTCGTGTTTTAGTCTATGTTATACACCTGTCTGTACCTGAGGGCTCACCTGTGATTAACTCAATGTTGGTATCTGTTGACAATACTGAACGAGATAACATAAGAACATAAGAATGGAGGAAACTGCAGCGGGCCTATTGGCCCATACTGGGCAGTCCCGTTTACACCCAACCCCTATTGCTCATATAAGCATCCAACCTATGTTTGAAGCTATTCAGCGTATTCGAGTTAATGATGATATTTGGTAACTTGTTCCATTCATCCACTACTTTGTTTCCAAACCAGTGTTTACCTATATCACGCCTAAATCTAAATTTTGTCTAATAAAAAACCATTGTTACGAGTTCGCTCCTGGTTGGATAGTTTGAGTACCTTTGTAATGTCCCCTTTGTTTAGCGCTGCCTTCCACTTATGCACCTCTATCAGGTCACCCCTCGCTCTACGTCTCTCAAGGGAGAGCAAATTAAGATGCTTTAACCTGTCTCTATACTCAAGGTTCCTAATGCCCGGGATTAGTCTTGTCATTCTCCTCTGAATTCTTTCCAAGGATTCTATATCCATTCTGTAATACGGTGACCAGAACTGAACTGCGTAATCCAGGTGTGGTCTCACAAGAGCAAGATACAGTTTTAGGATGACCTCGCTAGTCTTGTAACTAACACTCCTTTGTATGAACCCAAGTACTTTATTAGCCTTGTTACGAGCAAAAACACATTGTTTACTTGGCTTAAGGTTCCTACTTATCATTACTCCTAAATCTCTCTCGCAGTCGGATTTCTCTATGGCATCGTTGTTCATCTGGTATCTGGTTTCCCTGTTTACATCTCCTATACTGAGTACTTTACATTTGTCCACGTTGAATTTCATCTGCCATTTTTCAGACCATTCGAAAAATTTGTTTAGATCTTCCTGTAGTTTTGCCGAGTCCTCGTCAGATTTGATAACACGTCCTATTTTAGTGTCATCAGCAAATTTACTTATGTTGCTGTCTATGCCGATATCTATGTCGTTTATGTATATAATAAATAATAATGGTCCAAGTACTGAGCCTTGAAGGGAACTCCACTTGTGACGTTGCTCCCAATGGGACTTAGTGCGTTAATGCTCTTTTCGCTGTTTCCTGTGTCCTGTAACCACGCCCTAATCCATTTAAGGATGTCTGCTTTGATTCCATGAGCTTCTACCTTTCTAATTAGTCTTTCGTGAGGGACTCTGTCGAAGGCTTTGCTAAAGTCGAGATATACCACATCATAATTGTGCCCCTCGTCCACCGATTCGAAAACTGATGAAAAGAATGT